CGAGGCTCACAACTCTGTTCTACAACAGTACCCTGGCACTGGCAGCATCTTGCCTTTTTATCCTCCGCGTGCTCTGCTAGTAGGTACGGTCACTTTAGACATTAAGATTGCATACCAGTGAATGAAGATAGGGTCCCTGCTCACTGACTGACATCTCCAGAGGCCTCTGAACAAAATCAGATGCTTTGAACAGGGTGTGTGAATATGCAGTTTTCTGTAGATTCATCTTTCCAAAATGCAGTAACATAAATATAATTTCAACACGTTCCTCTGAATTATGACCATGCATTTATCTGCATTTGGAACAATGCATGGACTCTTCATGCAATTCAAGATGAAACAAAATTTCCTCCAAAGAGGAAACAATGTGAATTTTCAGTCATATTCCATGTTCCCATCACCACTGTTGCTGGCAGAGATGGCATTTTTCCTCCCCTCAATCCCACTAACTTTTTTCCCTCGGAAGCGATGCCTGGATTTCTGGAGATAGGGGATGTGTAGTCAGCTGTGAGGAAGCTTGTTTATCAACAGTAGTAACTACGTGACATCTCCAGTTGTGAAAAACTAATAAATGGACATCTCTTATTGTCAGACTAGTGAAAGTACCTATTTGGATAAGAAAATCAAAAGCAATTTTTAGAAGCTGAAGGTATCTGCTATTAGACATATTTAAGATGAGTTATCATTAGATACACGGCTGCTTTTTTTAGATTTACTGTATTTCTTGATAGGCCATCAGTTAAGGATATTTCTTACATCAGGCATCCCTCCTAACAGCTACAGGTTTTGCTTGTCATGAATCAGAATTTGAAGCTAATTTCTGTATAACTGATACCCATATCCTAAAGCCAACCTCAGCAGCAGCAGAAGCAATATTAGAATTGCATGAACACTTAAAGCACAGTGATATTTCTTGGTTTTAAGATGAGTGGCTTCTACATGAAATGAAGACCAACATTTACCTTTTTGAGATTTGCCCAAAATATTTAAATATGTTTCTATATTTCTATTTCTATGAAATACTCTAAACTAGGGAGCCATTTAAAGGTAGGAATCAATGCTACCCCCAAGTTTCATTTTCAAAAAGTTAAAGTATTGAGTATTTCAAACATACAACTAAATTCAGAGAAGTTCTAACATTTTTGGACAATATGAATATCTGTTTTCATACTGGAAGTACTGAGGCAGGTGAAGCTCTTTAACAATGCCTGCTGAAAGCAGTATGCTACTAAAAATATAAAGCAGCTTGACATTAGGACGCAGTACCCATGTGGTAAATAAAAGATGGAGTGAGCAGGGAGGAGCTCTTTATGGCTCAGTCTATACATCAAAAGCTGTGATGCTTGAAGAAAATAATTATAGTGCATCTAATTTTTCAGACTTTCCAGAAACGTCTGTCACTTTTTCTTTGAATGGAAAATTTGTACCAAGACCTGAACAAGTCCTTTTTTTATGCCCTCCCAAACTGAGCTGTCTACCCAAAGCCCTAATGCACTGCTTCAGAGGTAGGACCCAACTCAGAAAGGGCACTGCCACAGCATCTCTACTGTTAATAGGGAGAAAAAAAATCCGTTTCTCTGTTTTTCATGTGAGGGCAGCATCTCTTCAGCTCTCCTCTCAACAGCTGATGCCCAAGAGCTTCTCAGGTAGAGTGAACTCTAACGTGAACTGGAAATATTAGGGAATGATGGTATCTGTTTTGCCAGTGCTTTGGATTCTTACCTGCACATGGTCATAAAAGAAGAGATTTTCACATTTCTTGACTCTTGTTAGGGAGATATTTCACTTGTAGCTTGTCTTTTTGCCCAGAGAAAGTGAGAAAGGTAACATCATGCCTTCCCACAGTCAGAATTGATTCTTGACAATTCCTGGCCAATTAAGGAAAAAAATAATCCAAGATTGAGAGAATTAAAAAAGGCAAAACAGGATAAACAAAAAGAACAAAATAGGAAAGAGGGAGAGACCTTTTTTTCTTTTCTCCTTTGTTCTTTTACAGTTGATCATTCTTTTTCTGTAAAACTGGTGGTTTCACGTCCTGCTTTGCCCCAGCCTGTGTAAAAATTAGTATTGAAACTCATTAGTTTGGAAAATCTGATACAATATCAGAAATTGCTACTGAAATTCACTTGCATGAGGTCCCATGAAGCTTCAGGGGACCCACAACTAAAGTACTTCTCACCACATGTTCATGGGATGGGAGGCTGTCTGGGAGCATGAAGGCTGCTCATTTCTCCCAAAATGCTTATTTTCTTCCACTCAACTTGCCTGTCACTGGAAGAGCACACACAGCTACATCACTTGGTGGTACAATGATTTAGCACCTAAAGTGAGGAAGTTTCTTTCCTAATTTAAATTATCTTAACTGCCAAAAGCATAAATGCTGCTCCATCAGGCCAGGCACAAGGAAGGCAGCAGGATTTCCTCAGAGTGCTTCAGCAATCAGCACTACCAGCACAAGCAGGGTATCACCAGCATGGGGAAATATGGCCCTCTGAGTACAGTCAGGGGATAAGTAGAAAGAACAAATGGAGTACTGCGAGGATTGCTGGGGGTTTAACTGTCAGCAAATACTAAGAGAGAGAATTTTATAAAGACAGCTTCCACATCAAACAGCATTTTCTCAGAGTGCTGTTCAGATATTGCCCAGCATTATGTTTCTGGGGTAGGGTGGCCCAGCCTGGATACAGGTGCCCACCAAAGCCACTCTATCACTCCTGTCCTCAGCTGAATAATGGAAAAAAAACATAATGAAAGGCTTGTGGGTCAAGATAAGGCCAGGGACAGATCATTCACCAATTACTGTCTTGGGCAAAACAGACCTGACTTAGGGAAATAACTTCATTTATCATTGATCACATCAGAATAGGGTAATGAGAAATAAGACAAAATCTAAAATCACCCACCCCTCCCTTCTTCCTAGGCTTAACTTTTCATCCAGTTTCTGTACCTATGATGAACTGCAGTCAGACTGTGGGTTCTGCCGCTCCTTCCTCCCCAGTGGAGGACTTCTCATGCTCTCCTCCTGCTTCAGCATGGGGTTCCTCCCACAGGAAACAGTTCTCCACAAGTTTCTCCAGCGTGAGTCCTTCTTGTGGGCTGCAGTTCTTCATGAACTACTCCAGCATGGGTCCCTTCCACAGGGTCACTGGTCCTGCCAGCAAACCTGCTCCATTTGGGCTCCTCTCTCCACAGGGCCACTGGTCCTGCCAGAAGCTTGCTCCAGCAAGGGCTTGCCATGGGGTCACAACCTCCTTCAGGCATCCTCCTGCTCCAGTGTGGGGTCCTCCACAGTTTGCAGGTGGAGATCGGCTCCACTATGGACCTCCACAGGCTGCAGAACGACAGCCTACCTCACCATGGTCTGCATCAAGTGTCGCAGGGGAATCTCTGCTCCAGGCTCTGGAACACCTCCTGCCCTCCTTCTTCACTGACCTTGGTGTCTGCAGGGCTGTTTCACACAGATTCTCACTCCTCTCTCTGGCTGCCATTGCTCAGTTGGCTTTTTTTGCCCCTTCTTATCCCAGAGGCCCTTGGCTAGCGTCGGTTCCATTGGACATAGGGGAAGCTTTTAGCAGCTTCTCACAGAAGGCACTCTGGTAGCTCCCCCTGCTACCAAGCCCTTGCCACACAAACCTGATGCAGTTTCCTCTATGCAGCTTACCTAATGCATGAACACACATTTACAAAAACACACACACATATACTTGCATATTTTGATACCAAAATAATTTCATTACTAGAACGCAGCAGTTAGAAGAAAGTGGATGCTGTATTAGTAACACCGACAAATGCCCTCTCTGTCAAGGCAGAATTAAGTCAACATATTTTTTTTCAAGTGTTAGAAGCCTTTCTTTATAAACTTCATAAAAATGAACTGGAATATGGAATAGAGATATAATAACCAGCTGCTTTGCTTTTCTGATAGGAGTTTGAGTCAAATCCCAAACCCCTGAAGGTATAAGACAAATAAGAGACTTGCTCAAATTAATTTGCCAAAAGAACAGGTAATCATGAAAATTATCCGAACATTCGATGACAGGGAAGCCTGTGGTCATGCACACCCAGTCACCCACACATCCTGTCACTGAAAACAAAGGATGCATATCAGAATTGAATTGCTAGGAAACCACTGCAAAAGAGCTATTCATATGTACACAGGTAAATTAATTAGTACATAAGCAGCAGCTCATATGAAGCTGCTGCATCCTCAGCAAACTTATAACAAAGCCACCAGAGGCAGCAGGTCAAAGACATACTCTTTTTCATTATCATTCTGCAGGTATGTTGCAATTATTCAATGTAATGTACTAAATACAGGGTCAGGCTTTTTCCACAAAAGGCAATGTCAAAACTCCAATTGACTTTAATGAGAACGGCAATAAGCAGTAAGTGGGCAGGCAGATTTTCCTCCTTGTCCACTAAGGCTCACAATCTAACACAATTACTTAGGACATTCTCTGTAATCTTTCTCTAAAGCTGTTAGTACTTCACAAGATTTGTCCTCCAAAATGTTTATCTAATCTGTCCATTGATTAATTAAAGGTTACCAAATATATACTAAAAATTCCAACTGACTGCTTTGTGGGTGGCTTTCCTATTTCTCTGGACTTTCAGGCTTCTTTCTTACTGCTGAAGCCCTGGGAAGTGTGCTTTCAATAGCCTCTCCTCTTTCACCCCGCCCCCAATCCAGAACCCACAAGGCTGCTGGAATTCACATTAACCCCAACCAAACTGTTCACAAACTCATTCCTTCAGGATGCTTGCCACTGAACACAGAGTTTTATATGGAGCTGAACTCATCTATAGCCATGCAGTAGGTGTTCCAGAACTCAGAGAGGTGGGGATGACCATCTCTGGTTTAATCTTAGTTTAAGCAGATCTACACATACAGATCTTTTTTGTCATCACTTCTGCCTTTTATAAACGCTTCTGAACTGTATTTTCAAGTTTTTATTTTTACAGATATATGCTACCTGATGCATTTTACCTTAGATTGCATGAGTTAGGAAAACTGAAGAATAGCAAGGTAGTCTTCACCCGAAGGCCTGGCAAAACCCTGGCTCTTGCACACCTTATGTCCTCCATGTCACCACAGAATCCTTGCTGGTGTCAAGCAAGTCACAGAACAAATGTCCATCTCTACTGTACAGGCTGGGTGGAAAGCTGGCACCACAAAGCAGGAGAGGGAAAGGTTTCTTCCAGGGACTCAGATGGCTCGAGCTCTCCAGCCAGCAATAAAGCACTGGCGTGCACTTGCAAACCTAAAAGTCAGAGGGAAAGTATCCATCACATTCGCATGCACACCCATATTAACCCTTTCTTACAATACATTTATCAGATACATACATTTTGCAGTTAAACAATGACAGGTTGGAGACACCCAGATTTTCACTATATTTCTCTTGGGTTTGGCTGAGGGATTTTGACTATTTCCACTGAGCAACCATTGTCTGGTGTGACAGCCACCATAAGTGACAACAATTATTTTACATCCCTTTGCAAAATCATTTATTATTGCCAAGCAAATATTACATATTTCAATACTGAAAGTTTTCCCATGGAAATTAATTTTTAAAATTCTCTCCATCAAAACCAAATTTTTGAAAAATGAGATCTTTCTATAAGGTAGTACTGCTCTAAGGAAGTTGTGCTTCTTGTGGAGTAATGTTATTGCCATCAACACAATGTTAACATCCTTATTTTCAGAAAAAACCCTTCTGAATGTCTTGACATCTTGCAAAGAGTTATATTGGACCATCAATTCATATGCAAAACCAAAGAAAACCATGAGAAGAAAGGATTCTGTTGCAACTGGAATGGGAAAGCTACTACAGCAAGAATCTGCTGAGTGGTAATTGCCCTTTACATCAGAAATAAAACCTCCAGGAAATAAATGAATGCTGTTAAAGAAGTGTTCACATGAGTTTATATGATGTTTCTCTTTAGTTCTTTGTAGGCTCTCCTATCTACAGAATTCAACTGCAGGGGGTAAGGGTAGAGGGAGGATTGTTGTTTTTGTTATAAGAACATAAACTTTAATTTAGCTTGTGCTGAAACTACCAAGATTGCAATGGCTTCTACACAAATCAGTGAAGTTATCCCGGGTCCACTGAAAAATTATTTTTCAGTCTGAAATGGAGTGTGAGGTTTCAGGGCTGGCCAGCTGAACCTTTTGAGTAAACCACTGCATTTTTCAGACTTCCGTTAAAGCTTGCAGGCATGTCTCATTTCTAGGTCTAGTGTCAAAATGAATGGAAAACAGATAAGCTCTAAAGCACTTTTTTTCCCTAAATATTTAGACGGATTTTTAAATAGCATCATTGGAGAATTTAATATGAAAAAAGCAAGCAATGATCACTGAAGGTTATCCCTTTAACTTTCAAGTTGAAGCAACAAGATCAACCTAAAAGCATCCTTGGCATGGTAGTCCTTCCCAGCCTCCAGCAATTGATTCTATAAGGGTTTCCTGAGCTAGAGAATGAACCCAGTCCACTGTTGTTAATAACTGCTGGTGAGCTCTCTCCCATGAACTTCTCTAACCCATCTCATCTCTAACCCATGATTTTCAGCCTCCATAATAACATCACTAGACTATGAATTCCATCCAAAGGATCCTTTTACATATGTCCCGTTTCCTTTTACTTTTTACCCAGGCATCTTCAGATGATCACTGGATCAGATGCAGTTAAGACTATTAGCTTTTTATCTAATACAGTGTTGCAATACTTACTATAGCAATATATGCAGTGTAGCATTATCTTCCCAAAGGACAACCCTGTGTAATTAATATATACTATTTTAATTACCTTTGTATTTTCTCTATAAAAATATATCCATGCTACAACAGGGATTATAAAATAGGCAACATATTCCACAATTTTAACCCATTCTGCTATATTTCTTGCTATTTCAAGTTTTCAGTATGTTCAACATACAAGCATATTTCTGACTGCTCACATAGTATTCCTTGGACTTCCCTAACTTCATACCCAATTCCTTATTTAACCATAGGAACAGCAAATTCCCATTTCCATGACCACTCATACCGTAAAACTCTTCCCATATTCTTTCCACAAAGGAGGAACAAGAGAGAGAAAATCAGGATCGAGTGGCACTCATGGTTAAACATGGCTAGAGCCAACAAACATTATTGCATGATTAACCTACTACATAAAATTCATATGCCAATATCATCACCCTTAAGGAAAAGGGGTAACGTCCATTTACATCCTATTCTTCAGCCTGAAAAATTCAAGCAAGTTTTGTTCAGCATTTCAAAACACCTTGTAAATCACATTAGTACATCATAAAAAAAAAATCATTAGTCATAGCACTGTATTTGTTCTCATTTGCTATAAAAAAACATAAGAGAGAAGTAAAGCATGCCTCAGATATGCATTTATTTCTGCTTCATGAAAGTGCATTACTGCCATGTTTGTCATGGGCTTGAAGGTGAGGATATACCTCAAACTGCCACAGCCTACAAATGTACTTCCCCCGAATTCAAGGCAAAACTTCTGTTTATTTTAAGCTCACAGAGATTTAGCACAGAGGCAACTCTTCCCCTATCCCCAGACTTGGCTTACCCCCTCCATTCAGACTGGCATTTCCTACTCTGCAGTAGTGGTTCAGGATCAGCTCCTAGATCAGGATGCGGTCCTTACTAAACACCTAAAGCTTCTCACCCTGATGCAACGCTTTGGAAATGACTTGCTAACAAGGGTTTGTTAAAATATTTAAAAACCCATGGGAAAAATTTAGGGTAGTGCCAAGCAAACATGCATCAACATCCATAAAAAAATCAAAGCATGAATCCACTGAAACGCAAACGGCCTCCCCCCCCCGCTCCCCGAAAACAGGTCCTATTCTCCAAGTTTGCATTCCTGTGACAAATGCACAAACAAAACATCACTTGATGTTGCTAACCATGGTGTTCGAAGAAAGTGCCTCTTTTACAGCATTTCCAGCCCAGCCTTTTTGTCTGTGGAGGTAGTCTAATATGTAAATGTCCTTCCACAGTCTCTTCAGAATAAAAAGGAGGTCTTGGGAATTGAAATTCTAGTTATATTTATCATAACTTGATAAGAGTGGAGTGTGTTTATTTAAATACTCTACCATTATTTCTTCTTAACAACAGGCAGCTCTGAAGTGCAGTTATAAGTCTGTTTACGCCACACAGATATCAAATTGACTTGCTAATGGTAACTTTTATTCGGTATCCATGGGTTACTGTGTCATGTGATTTGACATCAAGTACAGACAGTGCTGATTAGTAGCATCCAGTTCTGTCCATCTCTGTGCATCACTGAACCATCTGGTCATTTATTCACTAATAAGCCCCTAATGGCCCAAATATTCACCGGCCTGTCATTGTGACATGGCATAAAATGCCTACATCTTTCAACTTGCTTTGACATGTTGCTTGTTTCACATCAAAACCCGTCATTTACAGGAAAAGAGCTCAGAGGGGTAAAAACTTGACCTAATCTGCAGTGTTAACACAAAGACAGAGGCTTTGTTATCCGGTAGCCTGACTGAAAGCATGTAAATGGGCATGAATTCATTTTGTACATTTTTCCATTCTCATTTTACAACATTCTTTAAGTTCGGTATCATTCCTAATATAGGTTTTTATGTGGGTTTTGCTGTGAAATCCCTTTTCTTTGTCAGTTAATATTCTTAGGAGTGCTTTAAAAGGAGCTGGGTTCCCAGAGATGTTTGTCTGATTTTTATATGGAAAATGTGTATCAATGGGAATATTACAAGCAGCTGCAGAAGTTTTCTAAACCCCTCTATTAAAAATTAGTATAATTAATAATTTTACTTCATGCTTTTTTTATCTTTGCCTAGATATCAATAGGCATTGTAATACTTTCTGCACTAAAGGACAGGAGATGCATTAACTATTTTCAGTGTAGTATGTTAGATTTTGCAGCATCTTCCCGGACAAGAAAAATCTCATGGTATATATATATATTCAACCTGGTATATATATTCGACAGCAAAGTCAAACACATTATTTCTTAAAAATCATGAATGCTTAGTAACTGAAAAATTTCTCTTCAGTCCCATCACACGAAATTGCTGGAGAAGAAAGAGGTCACAATCAATGCTTTAATTTTTTTTTTTTTCCTCCCCTTCTTAATCTTACTGGATATAGCCACAGTTAAAATAGTTTTAAAAAAGCAAACACCCATTAAACTAATTGCTGTTGAAATCTTGGTTAATACATCATTAAAATGTGATTAAAGCATGATGTAATTGATTGTAACTAGAACACTTAGGGTGGTTTTATGGCTCTGCAGTCATTGGTGTGATGGGACACATAATTCACCCAGTATGTTAGCTTCACTTGATGTGTGCCTCTATTGGCACACCAGCTTCTTGAAGCAAGCATACTCTGCTCAACAAAAACTTCCATTGTGTTGCCTTCTTGCTGTTATACTGGTTGTAAGGTGATAGGTGTTAAAAAACAAAAAATAGTATTTAAACATGATAGAGCATTTCCTTTTTTCTAAATAACTGAAGTGTTTAAAATAATATTTTATTTTATTTTTTGTGGGTTGGTGCTATGTGTATCTTGCCAGTGATTGTTCCTGTTAATGACATGAACAGCAGCCAGGATAAATCCTCTGCCTGTGCATGCTAGTAAATTTTATCAGAGAATTCAGGTCAGCTAATGAATCAATTTGAATGTTGGCATCTTCATGCTGAGATTCAATCAGGTTTAAATTTCATTTAAAATTAGTTAGTTTGCAATACTTACAGAACCATAACCCAGTCTTAGGATACATACACAGAATTTGGAATATGCATTCAAATGTTTCTATTTTTTGATTATTCACTTTACCAATCCTTGCTACACAATGTTATTCTCAAGGGCATCAATAAACGCATTCACTCCTGTCTTATAAGCCTGAGAATACCTTTTGCACTTACTCAGAGCCCTCAAACCTAGAGATGGGCTGGAAAACATTGTTTTGTGAAAAATGTTGAGGTTTCAAAACTAATCTCTATTCAACATTAAAACAAAACCCAAGCAGAGCCAAGTCAAACAAGATATGAATCGATATCTTTCTAAACCCCTAAATGGGCATCTCCTTCATAATGTTGTTAATTCCTCTCGCTCCAAAGAAAAATCCCATCTGACACATGCAAAATCTTTTTGACAACATTTAATCAAAGTGGAAAATTGCTATGAAAAAAAAAAATCTGTTTTGATGACCTGTCATTTTCTGATAGAGAAAGAAGTTTTATCAAA